TGCGATCCTGATAGCCCCGTACTAGCCCTGCCAGCCATGGTTCACTCACCTGGTCTCGATGTTGTCGGACATGCTCTGCCTTCCTCTCCGCCCAGATCTCCTCTCACTTGCCTCGTTCTTCACCCAGACGTTGCCTCTCTCAGTCTTGCAGCATGGAGGATACTCCCAACGTGATGCAGGTCCGTCTTCGAGCCCAAAAACCTTCCACTACCCTCCTATACGAAAATAAATGGAAGTCTTTTCTAAAATATATTCATGACAATAACTTACCTGCCATACCTGTCTCTTTGAAGACACTGCTCGCTTACCTCCTGCATCTCTTCAGTTTCGGCCTTTCCCAGTCCACATTAAAGGTCTATCTTTCAGCCATTATGGCTCACCAGTCGGATGATTCTCCCTCCTCCAAGTTGTTTTCTCACCCAACTGTCAAGAAGTTCCTCAAGGGCTCAACAACATTCGCCCTCCTCAACAACGTATCATTCCCCAGTGGTCACTGCAGCTGGTTCTTAATGCCTTGATGCGGGCTCTGTTTGAGCCCATGGCGTCCATCAACCTCAAATTCCTGACCCTTAAATCGGCCTTCCTTGTTACAATCACATCAGCCAAACGAGCTAGTGAGCTCACTGTTCTTCGAGCCGATCCTCCCTTTATCCAGTTTCACCCTGATAAAGTGACTCTTTATTTTGACGTTTCCTTTCTCCTGAAGGTGGTCTCCGACTTCCACCTCAACCAACCCATCATACTACCCTGCTTCTTCAAGTCTCCTTCATCACCCCTAGAACATATGCTCTATAATCTCAATGTCAGACGTGCCCTGGCTTTCTACGTCGAAAGGACTAAAGTTTTTAGAAAGTCCAATAAACTTTTTCTTTGCTTTCACGGCCCAAACAAAGGGGCCCCAGCCTCCTCTCAATACATAGCACGTTGGATTGTAGAGACTATCTCCCTTGCTTACAGCTTGTTGGGGAAATCCCCTCCAGAACATTTGACAGCTCATTCCACCAGGGCGCTGTCCACTTTTACTGCCTTTCAATGTGGCACCGAGGTTCCTGACATCTGTCGTGCTGCTACGTGGTCCACACCGTCCACGTTTGTCAAGCACTACCATCTGGACGTCAGAGCACGCCAAGATGCTGCATTTGGCAGAGCTGTCCTGTCATCCTTCTTACCGTGATGACCCACCAACCGGTAAGTGCAGCTTGCTAGTCACCCATATGTGTGCATTCACAGAGGCCACAAAAAAGAAAAAGAATTTACTTACCTGTAACCATAGTTCTTTGAGTGGTTCTCTGTGAATTCACACAACCCGCCCATCCTTCCCCTCTATCCGTCACGGGTTGATTATATAATTAATTAATTCTTTCCTTCATACTCGGCGGATAAAATTCAGGAACTGGGGAAGATGGTGGGTGGGAGGAGCATATACCTCGTGGAAGATCACACCATAAAATTGTTACTTTTAGCTCTAGAATCTTCCAAGAGAGTCAGCGCAGGTGCAGACAATACCCATATGTGTCAATTCACAGAGGACCACTCAAAGAACTATGGTTACAGGTAAGTGACACTGCTCCAGACAGTCCCATGGAATAAGCCTTCAAATATTCTATCAGAGTCTCCTGAGTTTTCCACTTTCATCACACTAATCTCCATCCCCCTCATTTCATCATAATGGCTTTTTAGCATGCTACGTAGATTTGTAGGCCAGATTCCTCATAGTGATTTGTGCATGCATACACTTGTGGAGATCCTTCTTCATTGCAATTTCAAATATAGTCATATATGTTACAATAAAGTCTCCACACACTAAATTGTGTAAATGCGGTGAGCAAATTACTGCTAATTAATGAATTGCTGGTTGCATTACTCTGCATCGCCTCCTGACTGGGAGCAATTCCATTGCAGGAGTTATGCAGTTTATAACTTAGGTGTGCATAAATCACTAGGATTTTGATCATTGACTATTATGTTTGTAGTATACATGAATATTTTTTTAAAAAAAGACTGCAAAGGCTGGCTTTAGTTAAAACAGACATTTTCTGAAAAGCAGTTGCCCTTTGACAGTTCCTGAGTAGTGTGAATAGTATGGTTGTTAATTTCTATATTCTATTTTATTCTTATCCCACTCCTGTGTATATAACGCCCTACATATGGACTGTGGCTTGAACAGTATAATAAAGCTCACACTAAGATAAATATATTAGTTCTAAGGTGTCACAATATGTTTTTTTTTTAAATTAAAAATACTGAAATTGTTTAACAAGGCTACGCCTTTGAAAATCAGAATATTAGTGCCACTTTATTTCAGATCATCTGCCAGTGGCATCTCGTAGGTGTTGAAGGGTATGGGGGATAAAATAGACGCCTCTGGGGTTCTGTAGCACTGGTACTGTGGGGCAGAGCAGTAACTCCAGGTTGCATTCTTGGAAATAGCCCTGTAGGTGAGAGCAAAAACACTGGAATGTTACATCACTTCCTAACCAGCCAAACTGGTACGGAAAGATACCTCAGTCATTATAACAATGGCCACTGAGAGGTCGGGGAGTTACAATATTGTTTGTTCTTCCCTTTCTTGTCAAGAATACCCAAGTCATCTTCCAAAATGTCCAAGGCAGCTTCCAGGGTCAAAAGTAGCTTTACAGTTGTACATCTGTATCCTGCTCATGCAACCTTACGTAAGAAGGGGATATTTATGATCAAACTACAATTACTATGCTGCTCAAAGCTCCTACAGAGCCTTGACACAGAAGAGAATACTTTGTTTATGTGGAAAGAGCCTTAACTTTGCTGGAAGTAGTTGTCCTGTAGAGTTGCTTGTCTCGTTTTTTGTCGTTTTTTGCTTAAAATGCTGGACAATGTGTGGTCTGGTGCATAAATTGAGCAGTCTTAAGGAGTGGATTAGAGACTGCCTTATTGATTGATGATAATGGTGTTACAACTGTGATATGTTCTGAGTACAGTTCAACCTGTAATAGCTGAAGCCTACTTTTATGAATCTGAAACTTTAGACCTACCTGACCAAGAACAATTTACATTTAGAATGTACAAGATAAGGATTCTCTTCCTATGCAAAAGTCATCCCTCACATTTCTGTATTAGGCATTAATCTATTATATGTCTTAAACAGAAGGAAGCAAGCCCAGCAGTGAATTATTGTTACTGTAAAATTGCAGTGTTCTCCAAAAGTGACTAATTTGGAAGCAGCATCTTGGACCAAATGATTGAATGATCATATTGAATGCAGATACTAACTGGCAAGAGTTAAGACCATGCAGAAATCCAATAAATGGCATTATCTGTCATTTTGAAATTAACAGAAAAAATAATTTTATTTCTTGTGCTGCCTTTTATACCTGATAGTTATGATATCTTTTAGTACATAGAACTGTGTTGCACAAAACAATAGTCTCATATAGCCTTCAAAAGGTGTAGAGTTTAAGTTATTGACATTTTGTACACTAAAATATGCCTCCTATGTTTAATGAGATTTTTACATGCATACCATGCGTGGAGCTGAAACCTGAGATTTCAGATTAATGTGGCAATGCTTCAAGATTGAAAGATTATACATTTTAATATCCCATGCTCACTGATGCTCTTGTTCCCAAATCAAGAAAGCCACCTGTTAGCCAAGAAGGTGTGAATACGAAACTGATCTGCTTTTAATAACTGAGTGTGACACTCTGACTTAATGTGATGTGCAAGATAACAGAATGATTTTGCTTCAGACTGTCCCCAAAACTACCAGTCCTGTAATAAAATGATTTGGTGCTTGCAGAATTCAAACATTTGTATGCTTGATAGCTCCCTCCCCCTGAATCTTTATATATATATATATGTATTCTGTTGTGCATAGAATTCAAGTTTTTTGTTTCACTCTGTTTAGTTCTAAACTGCACATATATTTCTTGCCAATTGCTAAAGTTTTGTTCTTGTTGTTGTTGCATAATTAGGAGGAAGCTTTACATGCTTTTATTCAACCTGAGATCCTTGATGGTCCCAATCAATATTTCTGTGAAAGATGTAAGAAGAAGTGTGATGCACGAAAGGTAGCTTGACTTGTTTTTTATATGACTATGAAGTGTCTATATCAATGTTTCTGAAAACCATTTAATAATCCTCTATTCGGTTTCATTTATGTTTTCTAGGGTTTGCGGTTCTTGCATTTCCCTTATCTGCTAACCTTACAGTTGAAGAGGTTTGACTTTGATTATACCACTATGCACAGGATCAAGCTTAATGACCGCATGACATTTCCTGAAGAGCTAGACATGAGCACGTTTATTGATATTGAAGATGAGGTAATAGTCCATGTGGCTTTTGGAAATATTTATTATCTCTTACTTAGCTTTGTTGGCAAGGGTGTCATTATGACATTGAAATTTACTCCCAGCTTCCATCTTTTTTCCTTTCTCTCTTTCATAAGTTTCTTATTAAGCATAGAACCAACACTGCCCAGTTGCTGTGGAGCCTGATTTTTAGAATTACAACTAAAAATGTTTAAGCCTATCACTAACTATGGTTTGTATTTTCTGGAGTTAATAGTAGATCACAGTTGAATTGCCACATTGTGAGCCTTCTGAGTAGTGACTTCTATAGTACATTGCCTATTTTTGCAACATACTAGCTTTTTTATATGCTGTGAAACAGAGGAAAGGAATTTGATTACTTATAGAAAAACCAGAAACAGTGATGCCTTGCTTAGCGACGTTAATCCATGCAGGGAAAAAACGTCGCTAAGCGATTTCATCAAGCCCATAGAAATGCATTAAAACGCGTTTAACGCGTTCCTATGGGCTTAAAAACTCACCTTATGCGAAAATCCTCCATAGGGGCGGCCATTTTCAGTGCCTCTAAAGCGAGGCAACACAGCAGGCAGCCATTTTTGAACTGCCAATCAGCTGTGCGAAAATGGGGCCTTTGGGATGATCGCGGGGGAGC